GTTTTTCTTTTCTTAGGAATATGTGCAGTGGCCCTAAGGGCCTTTACTCACCAAATGGACAAAAGACAAAACATATGGTGGCGTATTATTCCACGTTCTGCAGAAGATTCATTCTTATTTTTCACATTTTGTGAGTAGTGCAGCCAAACCCTAAGAGTCACGTGCAGAGACCAACAGGCCCTAGCTACGAGAGCAACCCATAACTACTGAAACACAGACCTGAATTCGAATCTTGAGTATATATTCGGCCAGCTCGTCCTCTTTTTCATATTCATTGCCTACCTCGATTTTGGTGAGGTGGTTTGCGCTACATGTCTGCGAGAACTCTTCAGATAGCCTGCATGGGCCGTCTGAGCCGTGTGAAGGGGATCCGTTCTCTCTCTCTCTCTCTCTCTCTCTCTCTCTCTCTTGTAAACACACACACCCCTTACAAAAAACAAGAAGAAAAAAATGCATCTGCGCCCCATCACAGACACCCCCCAACCCGAGCACCCCCACCCAGACCAACCCCCCCATCCCCCCACCAAAACCGAAATTTTATTGCAGATTCGGGGTCCTCTCGCCGAGCGCAGAATGACCCCGGTTTCAAAAAAAAAATAATAATAAAATCTGGGCGGTTTTTTGTCCCGCCCGGCTTACCCGGGCGGCCCCCGTGGGCCCAACCGGCTGGGCCCAGCTCGGCAGGGCAGGCCCGGCCGGGTGGCGTCCTCACTCAGGTAATTGCTCTGATACCATTTTTTTTTTTGTTTAAATTTTAAAATTAAAAAATGATTTGATTTCATTCATCAGGTGGATGCAAACTCAGGTCTGTATTTCAACAGTTCATGGTTGTACCAACTGAGCTACACCCACTGGCCGCTCTGATAGCAAATTGCAATGAGCCCAGATCTCGAAACTCACCTCTCCAAACCCACTGCATGCATGGCCTTAACGCATGAAATACACAAACGAGATGGTGGAGGAAAAAAGACAAAAGAGTAGAGATTCTAGAGAATGATTATTATTATGATTAAATCATGATTTCCATTAAGAATCAAAGATTATATTAAAAAAAAAAAAAAAGAAAAAAGAATCAAAGATTAGAAAGTCGAATCTTCTCCTCCTCCCACTCTGGGCTCTCCCTCTTCTGTCTCTCGCCTTCCTCTCAGATCGACAAGTCACACGATTCAACCAACGCCCAACAGTGCTTCTGCTTTGCCTGTCTCTGACCCCAGCGTCACTCACCAAGCACTCTCTCCATCGCTGCTCAGTTTACCAATCGTGAGTGCAATCATGCCTGGAAACGCCAAAACAGCATACCTTGCAATCAAGCCTGAAATCGACATCAGGAAAGGACGTCAGCATGAAGACACCAGATGAGCATTTCTCTTTCCCAAACGCCAGATCTCACCTCCAACCTTCTTTCCTCGTTCTCTCTCTCCCTCACTCGACAGCTATGGAGGCAGGAGCCTTCGTTCTTCTACAGGCAGCTGTGGCCTACATAGTCGACCTCTCTACTTCTGACCGGGGCAAGGAAGACTTCCCCAGCACACGAGCTTCAATATCAATGCGCCTTGCGTTTATGGTGTTGACTCGGTCTTGGCCTGCCTCAGGTTGCCTCCTCGAATGGCTGAGATTTCTTGATCTGTGTGGCCAGAATTCTGTCACATCCTACGTGTGGCTGATCCCGGCAAGTCTGAAAGCTTCTGGAAACTGTGCTGAGGCTTTGAATGGCGCGCGATCAGTGACCGAGTTTGACTTCTGGGAAAATCTTTGACTCTTGGTCTACTGTGCCCGGGTTGAGGCTGGCTGTTGACTCTCGGCAGGCCTGGGTTCACTTTCCCATACTCTGGGGGTATTTCTTACCCCTCCCCCTGGCCCTTGAGAGCCCCAGACCATTTGAGCTGAGAGACGTCTGAGATAGGTCTTGGCCCTAGCCAGTGACTTTGACTCTCCAGGAATTGGACCCAGACTTGGAGACACGACCCTGGGCTCAATTCTAAGGCAGGCATGTTTCCTTGCAGCGCGGATCTGTTCAAGTTTGGTCTTCCTTCTCCCAGATCAAAACAGCCACGGCCTAAAACATCACCACGGACAGGTATTTTTTTGGTTACCACCCTGCCTCTGATTTCTCAGTGGGTCCTCTGGATGGGATGGCGATGGCCAACCCGGCGGCTGCTCGTTTTTCACTTCCATCTGCAGCAACGTTCACAGGCCCAAAGGACGGTTGCGCAAATCGGTCGGGACTCGGAAGTAGTGTTTACTTCCAGTTGGTTGGAAGCTTGATATATGTTGGATGTTAAACAGGGTGGTGTTTTGTGCCTGGCTGAGTATAGCAGTTAACGCATAGTTCTGTACTGAAGCCTGTTGAGTGCGCAGCATGTGCCACAGTATAGACCTTGTTGAGGTCATCACTTAGCATGTAGTATTGGACTCAGGGCTGAGCATGTAGGATGTGTGGTACACCAGGTACAGTGTGCACCTGGCGAACTACAGCTTCCAGGTGCGTACATAGCTTGTCGCTCTGTTCTTAGCAAAGGTGTGCACTGTGCTGAGCAGCGCATGATCTGTGAGCTACCGTCTTCACCGGAATAGAATGCCCGGTCATTATTACTCCATCTAGACTGGAAGTCGTACCAAATGCAGCTATAATGACCAGGCGTTCTATTCGGGTGAAGATGGTAGTGCACGCTCTTTTAAGCATGGCTGCTTCTAGGCAAGCCTACCCCACTACAACTGATTGTCTTGTGCACTCCCACCTCCCGTACCACGGAGCGGCCATTTAGGGGCCTTAGCTGGCGATCGGACTGTTTTCCTTTTGACGATAAAGTTTATTCCCTACCGTCTCACGAGTTTACTGAAGTTCGTACCCAGTATTCAGAGTTTGCCTCGATTTGGTACCACTTTTGCAGCCCCCATCGAAACAGTGCGCTTTACTCCTGGATAGTGGAGTTAATTGCTGCGCCTCAACGCATTTCGGGGAGAACCAAGCTAGCTCTGAGTTCGAGTGACATTTCAACACACATTTGAGAAGAGCGTGCATTTTTCTAGAGTGGGTGGTTTGCATGGAGCGAAAGCCAGGAAGAGGCACGTAACTGTGTCTTGGGGGGGCGGCGGTTCCATTGTGTCGGAATGTGCAGGAACGAGGCGTTGGCACAATTTATTTGAAGAAGAATACAGGGGTGGACGAGAGGGATCACAGGGACCGCCTGGCACTTAAAGCCGGAACCAGGAGTGAGCTCGATGTTTACGCGACTCTTGAGAAGAAGGCAGAGTTGTACGAAAAA